ATATATATATTTATATATACATTAGTGGGACCCGGCGTTTCCTTGGTTTTCCTATACGCACCAGTACGTTCGGGAAGTTGACATACGGAACTACTATAGCGTAAAAGATATATAGGTCTACATGACGAGGTAAGAAGGACGATGACATGGATACAGGGTGTGTGATGGTGGACAGGGTGCATGTCACAAAGAACAGAGTGTGTGACACAGAGACACAGGGAGTGTGACGGGGAACGGACGACTGAATAAGAGAGAAAGCAACGAACTTGACTCTATATATAAACTATGACTATATGACTCATACATCCTCACCCACGCGCACACGCGCGCACCCTCACCTCCATCGCACGTACGCACGCACGCACGCACGCACGCACGCACGCACGCACGCACGTACGCACGCACGCACGCACGCACATAACCACGCACACAGGAACAGTCTATTATAACCTACATGACATATCATTATATGTCTATATACAGACACGGATTATTTATTTAATACAGCAGTTATAACCCTGTCCGCGATCCCCCTGTCCCTGCTGCTGCTGCTGCTGACGAATCTCTGTCATTAAGAAGCCATTTCAAAGCATCCACTCATCCCGCCCATCATAGCTAATGTTCAATATTGGTTTACTGCTATAACTACAGCGGAGGCGGTGGGAGGAGCCGGGGGAGGAGGAGGGAGAAGGGAGGGGAGGAGGAGGGGAAGGGGAGAAGGAAGGGGAGGGGCGGGGAAAGAAGGATGGGAAAGGGGGAAACAGAAGGCGAGGGGCAGGGGCAGTCGGCAGCAGTGGAAAAGGGAATTTACGGTAGGAGTAGCGCACTCACGCACACACACGCACGCACGCACGCACACACACACACACACGCACATGCTCACGCACGCACGCACGCGCACACACGCGCACACGATTTTACACTCGCCCAATCTCTTTCGCTCTCGTTCTTTTTCCCAAATTATCTCTGCGCCTCATGAATTCCCTCAAACTATCTGTCTCTCCTTTCCTCCACGCCCTTTCTACCCACGCTATCGCTCTTTCTTCCACAAGTTAACTCTCGTTATCTCTTTCATTGTACTAAACTTTCAGTGTTCATTTCATGCTCCTAAATTTTGCGTGTCCATTTCATTTCATGTTCATCCTCTAAACTATATCTCGGTCCCATTCATTCTGTCAAACTATCTCCGCCTCGCTTTGTCTCCGGAGACATCTCTCTCTCTCTCTCTCTCTCTTTCTTCTCTCTCTTCTCCCCCTTTCTCTCTCTTGCTCTCCCCTCGCTATCTCTCTCCTTTCTTCTCTCCCCCCGTCTCTCTTCTCGTTCCCCTCTCTCTTATCTTTCTCCCTCTCTCTCTCTCTCTCTCTCTCGTCTTTCTTTTCTCTCTCCCTCCTCCCTCTCTCTCTTCTCCTCTCTCTCTCTCTCTCTTCTTCTCCTGCTCTCTCATCTCTCCTCTCTCTCTCTCTTTTCTCTTTCTTTCTCTCATCTCTTCGCCCTCATACAGCGACCTCGTCCATCATTTCACCACCTCCACTTGCCTCGCCCTTCACACAACTGCTAACGCACAGGGCACCGTGAACGTCCACGATATACGCCGAGCTATGAGTTGATTCCTGTTAAGTTGGGTGCCTGGCCTTATCTAATTTTCTGGCTGATTCGCACTCGAGTGCGAAATGATCATGATACAGGCGATTATCCCCCCCCCTCCAGCGGCTTGCTCATCATATTGATGGTATAACAGCTGTCGTACGGAGTTCAGCAATCACACTAGGCAATCTACTATTTTCACTTTAATCTCGCATCGGAGTGATTACCTGCATATCAAGTCTGTATAGCTACGTGCGCACGTGTAGCATGGTATGGGCGGGCGGGGCGAACTACATCGGCCCCCATAATACCTCCATACCAGCTAACCAGGCCACGGCGCGCCACACTTAGGGCACCTGCAACAGCCTAAGCGGCTAGGCTCGCCTAGGACGTGTATTTGCCCAGGGGCTGTGCGCGGGCGGTGTCGGCACGGCGGACACAGGCTGGTTAGCTGAGTCCGGCATCACGGTT